TGGGTGAGCATTGCCCAGGCTTATGATAGGAGTCAGGACAGTGCTCGGCAACGGAGCCAAAGGTTACTATGGAGCTGGCACTTACGTGACGCCAGGTCAACCTCAATGACGATGATCAAGGTGCTACTGACTGGAAAAGCCAAAAATGGGTCTGCCCAGACACCAAAGCCTCGAAGGAGGTCATCGATTTGGTTATACCCGCCTCTGGTAGCTGTGTATCTCTCAGTGTTTGATCAGCCTAACCATATCCAAAGCCAAACTTCGACCATGAGCAGCAGTAGGACAACTCACACATGCTGGCCCGTGGTGATACAAGTGCTGGTGTGGTGGACAAAAGACAAAAGCCGATGGAGAAGAAGACGAGGGTGCAGGAAGAGTTGACCATACTCCCTCCTCCTCCCACCCTCTTTATAGACGGACCACAGCCGGTCCAGAGGCAAGAGCAAAAGCTGCCAGCTCCTAGTTTTGCACCCGATGACTTGTGCGTCGCGGAACACTGAGGAACACTCATGGCCCAAGGGCGCGCCCACACAAGACAGGGCTGACTGACATGTCATCCTTCAAAAATTAAATTAGAAACCTGCACATCGGCCGGGCGGGATCTGAATTACAGGGCCAGGGTTTGACAAAAGCAATCGTCGGTTGTCAGAAACCGCAACGCATCCGTGATTGCGCATGGAGTGGGGGGGTCTCATGGTCTGTTACATTGGTTATTACTCGTATACATACACACCAAGTGTCGGAAAACAAGAAACAAATCGGCGGTGAGCCAGCGCCCCAAGGCCGGGGTCGACTCTATGCCGGTCGCCGGAAACAAAGTTGGTCTGGCGATCGACTAGAAAGCAATGTGGGACTCGGAGCATTTGTCAAGACTGCCTACCCAACAGATCGGGAGCCCTGTACAGTCGGGCCGCGCCACGGGTACTGCCGCGGACACTCCCGAACCTTTCCAACGGGACTCGGAAGTAACGCTGTTTCTCGGGCCCTCGGCAACGCCTGGTTCCAGTTTCTCGGCGACAACGGTAGATTTCCGGACTGGCCACTGGTCTTCGCCTCGAAGGTCGGACTGGAGATTGTGGGGAATCGGCAGCCTACGGCACCAAGCGGTTACTCCCCCATTCGTTCAGGAGGCTCAAGTTCAAGTCATCATCCCAGTGACCAAGAAGCTGGGCAGCATCCATGCACGACGGCTTGACTCGGTACCGCCCCGTCGTGGTGTTACACGGCACACTGGCCGTTACTACCTGGTAGCGTGATAGCCGCCCCGTTGGGGCGATCTCATCCAATAACCTTGCTTCGTCAACGTAGCCCACCTCCCTCAGCAGGGGCACCAGGAGGTAGAAAAACTCTGCTGGCGGGCTAGCTGAATCTGGAATGACCATGCCTGTTGGCCGGAGATTACCTACATTAGTTAAGTCCTGCAGGGAAACCAACAAGTCTTTTGGGTCCACGGTTTTGGCCGACCGATAGTGTGTCAGCCGCCAGCCGGGTGATTGGTTCAGAGCGTCTGACCTAGAGGTTAGCAACTTGGAAGAGGCTCTGGCGCGGCTGTGACACTGGAAGGGCAACAACATCCTCAGAAGCTTCATCCGGCTTGGCCTTCACTGCCCCGACTTCTTCTAGCCCGCGGATGACCTTGAGCCCTGCAATGGCCGAATTTGGACTGGTGTCTTCCCTCCTTTTCCCTCCTTTCCCTCCCATTTCCCCCTTGTAATAGCAGAATTTGGACTGGTTCCTCCCGCCTTTTCCCTCCTTTCCCCTCCTTTTTCCTCCTTGCAATGACCGAATTTGGACTGGTTTTTCTCTCTCCCCCCCCCCCCCTCTCCCCCCCTTTCCTTCTTTTTCCTTCCTTCTTCCTTTTCATTGGCTTGAAGGCTTCCAACTGGGCCTTCAAGACTTCATTTTCCCTTTCCAAGAGGGCCACATTGTAGCCCATCTTGCCAAAGGCCTTGTTGACCAAATACGGCGAATTTAGGCTCCGAGTGCACTAACTGTGCCTTCGGCTCTTCCCAGTGCCTGCCGTTACGATGCCTACCTACGAACGAAGGACCTTGCCACAAGGGCGACAGAGGCGAAGCTGATGAAAGCTCTGTGTTCAATACCCACTCACTATGGAATGCCTAAAATTGGTTCTGACACCACAGAAGGCACTATTAAACGGTACTACCAGAAGTCCTACGGTCTACCGCTGCACGACCAGCACCGGGCCTCAGCCGCGACACCGCAACCCTGATCAAAGACGGCCTTCTGCGGATACGGGCACAAAATGCGGTTCTGCACGGTTCCCTGCAGGTCCGTAACCTCGACCGGTGACTGGTCCGGCGCAGTGCCGTTCTCAACCCATGCACGCAGCTGGTCGAACAGGCTGGTTGGCCCTCCGCTTGGTCCTCCGGTACAGTGACCCATGCCAGGCACCTCGAAGTGGCGATAAAAGTCGTGGACTTCCGGGAGGAGGGCTGAGACTGCGTCGTAGTACTTGGCGACACCCTTCGGGGGGACCAGCTGATCCATCTGTGCGGTGCGTTAATTATTAGAAACTGCTGTGCTATCGCAGCATTGACAACCAAAGGAGACTCACAAGGCCATGGAAGGTGACGACCTTGCCACCGGCGTTGCGGAAGGCAGACAGGTCCGGATCGTCGGTGCCCATGATGGACCGGTATCTCTGTCGGCCCTGGTGGGCTAGCCGGTCGAACTCAACGTGGCTCAGGCTGGACAGGTCCAGGTCTGCATTCCTCGCCACGAACAAGGAAAACCATTGCGTGGCGACGGGTGGCGGCACGCTCTTACAGCCCGCCGCGGTGCAGTTCGTCGCGGCGGCGAAGGTCAAGTCGGTGCCAGGGTTGAGCCCCGGCCACGTCTGCACGCCTTGCGGGTTGCGAATCCCCTGCCATGTCGCGTTGACCACGGCCGCCGCCGCCGAACTAATTTTGGGTGCCTCGGGGCAGTCAATGGCCCGGCCGACCATCTCGAAGGGGTCGAAGCGGGCCAGGCAGTCGTCAATTTCGCCGATGACGCCGTCGACCACGCCATCCAGCCCGTCGCAGGCCGAGATCACGGCTGCTGTGATGGCCTGTAGCTCGCAGGGGTGCGGGTATTCGCCCAGCATGTTCATGAATTGAGACGGCCAGAGCATGCTGGGGAAGAAATCGGTCCAGTGGATGCCCGGAGCGCCCGCCACGATGCCGTCGTAGGCGGTCGGATAGCGCTGGGCAAGCATGAGTCCTTGCCGGCCGCCCTGCGAACAGCCATTCCAGTAGCTATAGGCTGGTCCGCGGCCGTAGTAGGATTTGATGAGGGCCTTCCCAATGACCGCCTGTTGACAATGAGAAACAGTTTAAAAGAATAAAAACTTGGAAGGGTTGTTGTTTCACACTTACCTCGTCTTCCAACGACACGGACGCGAGGTTCTGCAAGGCGTACAGGTTGACGTTTCCAGGGCTGAGCAGCGCCCACGAGTCAGAGGTTTGGGCGTCTCCCAGCCCGGCATCCGTCGTTATCGTTGCGTAGCCATCCCCCATCGCGCCACTCATAGCGCTGTACTGGGGCTCATCGCGCCCCGCGACCCACCCCCCGCCTCCAACGGCCTGGAGACGCTCGTTCCATTTCTTTGTCGGAAGCCAGGCTTCGACAGTAACCGTGTCGCTCTGTCCCGGGTGCGTGTAGGTTACCGTGACGTTACAGAAGCTGGCGTTCTGCACTTCCAATGCCGGTTGGGTGAACCGATCCGCCGAAGGAACGGACCTGCTGTAGTTGGTGACAAGGCTTGCCTCCAAAGCGAGCATCTCAGCCCCGAAAAAGGAGACATTGCCAAAAGTCGCCGGGACACATGCGAGTGCCGACATGGTGGACATGGTGACAGAAAAAAGCGGGATACGGCGGATGGACGACGAGGTTTCTCGCAGCACAAAACGGTGCATTTATAGATATCTATGGCCAAACTGTTCCAAGTTCCCTTTCGTAGACCAGGACCTGGTAGTATGCCTGCCGCCTGGTGGCGTGGCTGCGCGGGAATGAGCAAGTTCCATCCTACCTCGCACTTGAGCCAGCTATCAAGTCCGAACGACGGTAACTACACCCAACCTTTACAACAGTAAAACGACCTACGGTCAGCCCCCAAATGAGTGTATTTGAGGCAGTTGTTGATCGTTCCGAGGTCGGTCGTTTCCCTCAAACAGTATAGTGTATAGCACCCGTGACAAGAGCGCGGCGCAGCAGAACCGCTCATCTACCAAGGCCAATCAACTATTTTTCAAAATATAATTCGCTTGCACGTCGCTTTCAAATGTCTTCCAGAATGAGAGTAGTGGCGCGGACAAGGGCCGGGAACTCCGGGTGATCCGGTCAGCACTGGCCGGGGCTCCTGATTACCAGGCAGTCAAAAAGATTATACAGTGCCCGGTTACCGACGGCGACAAGCCTGGCCCGGTTCCGAGGTCAAATGTAATCAAGAACCCATCCGCGGTATAACTTCAGCTCTACTGAGACACCGGATCTTTGGTTTGTGGCATTGTGGCTCCCTATCCAGACTATGAGAAGGGAGTAAGGCAAGGGCTTTTACTCTTACGAATCCCTCTCCCGATATCTTGGACGCGTTAGCTAAGTACTAGTAATAACAGCCGGCCGGTTTAGTACTTCTAGCTTCGTTTCATCGTAACGTGGTCGGGGTATCAATCTTCTGTTACATTGTGCTGTTTCTAGCACTGTCATGTCGTTCACATAGAGATTGCGCTAATTCTCGGACACAACGTCCCCTGTCCACGGGAACTACCCCTGAGAGATCTCACGATGCAAGGGGGTCGACGCAACGTTTAATTGGCCGGCAGCTTCCCATCGTGGCTCAACGGGCGGGAGCATGCGCGATGTGATGACAGCTTGCTTTTGTCTAGCCCGTCGGTTGCCTGCATCCAAGGCACAGGGGGCGGCCTTGCTCTGTCGGGGGTCGGTCTCGATGGACAGGCCGTGAAAAAGGGGAGGGAAAAACAAAAACAAAGATTTGTTGACTAGGGTGAGATTCGAACTCACGCCCCATTACTGAGACCAGGAAATTGAACCGCGTTCAAGTTGAAATTCAGGTGGACCTGAACCTGGCGCCTTAGACCGCTCGGCCACCTAGCCGTGTGTTTTGTGTGTGGAGTCGTGGTGGAATGTGAGGTTTTGGAAGGGGTCGAGGGTTTTTTTTTGGTGGAGAGAGGAGCCAGGGGTCAAGGAGCCAAAGCACGTGAGCCGCACGTGATCCACACGTGATGGACCATCACCCATGCATTGATTGGTTTCAGCCCCAACCACAGTGCCACCCTTGCAATCAGGCAGGCAACATCGACCAACCCACACCGACCCAAACAATCGGTCAACTTCTGTGAAGCAATTCATCAACTCATCAATTCATCAAGCCCAACCAGAGAGCGCACGGCCCTGCGGCCAACTCTGCGCAAGCTCACATTAGCATTGTCCTTTTTCTTTCTTTTTGTCTTTCGTTCCTCCGTGAGGACAGAGGACAGAGGGGCTGCACCAACCCAACAATGTCGTCCCCCAACAACAACAACAACAACCCCAACCCCCGACGACGAGCAGCCGCCACCATCAGCAGCAGCCCGGGCGCAACCACCCTCGCCAGCCCGCTCCTCCGCAAGACCACCATCCTCGCCCTGTTCCCGGCCCTGCCCCTCTGCATCACCCACGGCGCGCTCGCGCACGACATTGTGCCGGCCCTCGGATTGATCCCGCTCTCCCTGTCGGCGGGCGTCTCGCTCTTCCTGCTGCTCAGAACTAGGGCTCGTTGTTGTCGTCGTCGCGGGAAGGGGAGGGGGAGGAGGAGCCGCCACGGTTACTTGGACTCGGACCTAGACCCGGACCCGGAGGAAGTGGGTGAGGGTGCTGCTGCTGCTGCTGATCTGGGGCGTGACCGTGGTGGGGGGGAGGAAGAGGAGGTTGCTAGTCGGAGCGGGCTTGAGCCGGATGATGATGATGATGGTGATGATGAGCATGATTGCGAGAGGGCCGGAGAGTCGGTGCTAACGCACCGCATCTTGGTGTTTGTGGTCGATGTCATCCTCGCGGCCGGACTGATGGTTGTGTTGGTGTTTACGTGGATCCGGACGAGGTGGGCCGGGGATAGGCGTCCCGAGCTGGCGATGCTGGCGGCGTATAGTACGATGCCGCTGCTGATCAACTTGTGAGTCTTTGCGCTTCTCTCCCCTGACGGTTAGGGACTACTGTGCTGACCGGTAGACAGCTTGATCCATCTGTACCTCGCCGCACGCGAGCTTGTCGCCGGCCTGGCCATCCCGGGCCTCGTCGAGTACACGGCCTGGCGCGCTGTGCCACCTGACTGCCCGCACTGCGGCAGCCGACTGCGGCCGGACTCGTTGCCGCCTATTCCGTGGTACGAAACTGTCTCCAGGCCAAAGGTTTCGCTTCCTCAGATCAAGGCACCTTCGATTCCCCGACCATCGCTGCCAGCCTTCAAGGCCCCAAAGTTCTCCGGCCTGAAGGGCCCCGGCGAGTGGAAGGTCCCCAATTGGTTGAGGGGCAGAAACCAGGAGGATGCCAGCTTGTTTGTGGACGACGAGCAGAACGAGCGTGACCGATATAGGGACGATCCTGACGCGCCATCCGGTACTACTTCGGTGGTTGCCACTGGGTCCGGGGGTCCTGCTCTGGTGGAAGAGGTTGTGGTGGCGAAGAAGGATAAACGGGGCAACAGTGGCTCCAGCTCGGCACCGCCTGTGGACGGTGAGATTGGTGTGTGGTAATGAGGCGTGGCTCCGTGTTTGCAGCCCGCTGAGCTGTGCGAAGTGTTAGGATTCTGCGCGCGAGTTGATCCTTCGAGTTCGATCGTTATATTGCGAGTTGACAGTCTTAGATACCCCGGGCTACGTCTTCGGCGTTACGAGCACAGTTACTTGCTTTACTTGTTTCATCAGCTCCAATCACTATTGGATGTTTGTAGCGATACTATCAAGAGGCGTGGAAGGGATGATTTGGGGATGTAATGATGGAAGGAAAGAAGCAAACAAACAATCCGAGGTGGCTCTGGAGAATCTTCACGTTGCGGCTGCTCTGAGAGACCCAAAATCTGACAGCACCTTCCCCCTTTGAGCCGTTCCCAGTGGAGAGACCTCAGCCTGCAGGTGCAAACTGGTAACCTAGGTAGGTACCTAAATTGGCAGAAAACGGGAGCCTGTAAATTCCCCGCGCCCAACCCCCCCATCCCGTCCTGGCAGCAACCCTCAAGCTCCAAACCGAACTGGCAAATACGATCGCTGCCCCCGCAAGGAGATCCCCATTTTTTGCGACAGACAAAGACCTTCTCCATTATATCCATTCCGATGTCCGACGCCGGCTCACACCGTTCAAGTCCGTTCTCGGTCGACTCGGCAGAACAAGACCTGCCCGTTCCGCCTGCGCAGTGGGATGTCGACGCCCATCTCCCCCAACTCGAGAGGGAGAGTCTGAACGTCAAGCAGGAGCATCTCGTTCTTGCCCTGGACTACGTCGGGGCGCTGCTGGATGCCAAGGGGTACGCGTGGGCGGTCATGGGGGGGCTGGCCTTTTTCATGCACGGCAACAAGAACCGCAACACTCGGGACGTGGACGTGGCCATCGAGGCCAAACCCAAGGAGGTCATTGCGGCTTTGAAGGACGACCGGTACGTGTGATACCGTGGTGCTATCAGTTCCAGGCTGACGTCGGTCGGTGTGTGCAGAATCTTCACGCCGCCGTTGCTGTCAATGGCCGGGAGCGGCTGTGGCAAGTTCTATGTGGTGCTTGGTTTCGAGTCTGGTGGTGATAGACAGATCGTCGAGGTGGACCTCATAATGGCGGGTGCGTATTTGTGTTGCACAGATTTCGAAAGGAGTGTGGCTCGACTGACACCCTCCCTAGGACACCTCGGTGCGCCCAAGAACCTATCAGACGTCACAGTTACCAAAATGGCAGAGACAGCGGCTGGACCGCGCATCTACAAGGTCCTCTCGGTCCAACAGCTCTTCAGGGCCAAGCTCCACGCCCTCAACGTACGAGATGCAGAGCGGGATTTCGGTGACCTTGAATGGCTGTGCTTTATCCACATCCGCGAGATCCAAGAGGTGGCGGATACAATGGATGAGCTGGAGCGGATGAACTTTGTCAGCAAATACAGGAAGAAGTATCCTGAGAAGGGGGTGGCTGTTATCGAGGCCCTGAAGGTTGCCCTGAGGCTGGGCCCGGAAGAGTACAGTGGTTAGTTTTGATGCCTCTGACGGTTTTGGTTTTATTACGGCATAAAGGAGATAAGGAAGACTAGTGATTAGCAACTACCAGGTACCCTCAAGGTAGCACAGTAGGGCAGGGCTGGCTTGTTTTTAAACATCGATATCAAATTCCACTGCCCGTTGTGAACACTGTCAAGCCCAGCCTTGTGTTTGCAAGTGTATTTGAGTCGGGGTGTAGGTGGTAGCAGAACCTTTCTCCTCGTCCAAGAACCCCCGGTTTGATGCAAAGAGCTTCTCGGCACTGGCATGATTTTTCAAGGCAACTGACCGATTGCCTTGGACGGTGAACACATCAAACGGTTGCAAACAACATCCTGAAGAAGCACCTACGATATATTTGAAATTCGGCCCGGGCATGGCGGCACATGTTTCAAAACGAGTCACAGGGACTAACTTTTACAAGTTGAATTTTACTAACCTAGAAGTGGATGACGTGAGGGTTGGGGATGCGGGGTAATACTAAGCCGAGGGCGAAGGGTTCTCTCACTTCTCTCGAAGTATAATAACAGAGAGTAGTATTATAAATGATATTCCCTTCATCTTTCCGTATCAGACTTCCTGACGCCACTGGCCACTAGAGGTTCACAATGACCAACGACCCTGAACCGAAGCACACTGCCGTGTACGTAGGCGACCCCGGCGACAGAGATTGCGGCCTCGGCGCCTCCGAAGCGCTCGACGTCATCCAGGCACTGGAGCGCAACGGCATCCCGAGCTGCATCACGGGCGCCAAGTCATTGGTGTACTATGGCGCTGGCAGGGTCGCGCAGGTGAGACCGGTTGCGAGGAAATAATTAGGGCTCGCCCCTGCTCGGGATGCATGATCACGGCCCTACTGACATGGCTGGTAAACCTAGGACTGGGAGATTGCCGTCCCAGACGACTCCTTTGAGACGGCAAAGACGCTCTTTGAAAGCAACCCTAAGTACAAGATGTTGCAGCCGGCCATGCCGCAGCCCAAGTCGCTCATCCACACCTGCCCGTTGTTCAAATTGAAGGGCGTTGCCTTCACCTTGGTCCTCGTGCCGGCCTCGGAGCCCTACGTCGACTGCAGCCCAGCCAAGTGCGAGCGAAGCCATAGTGGCATCCCATACCCCAAACTCGAGCATCTCGCGCAGAGTCTGCTCGACACGCAGCACTACGCGGACCTGGAGGATCTTGTCGACGGCATGGATTTAGATGAAAAATGGGGCGAGGAAAACCTACGACTCGAGCGCGTGCCGATCGAATACATCCAGCGCAGGAACGAATTGATCTGCAGGGCGCTGCCGGGTCTCCCTGGCCTCATGGCGTCGCTGTCGACAGCCCCGGATGCCAGGCGGGCGTGGACACGCGCCGTCCAGGGAAAGCGTGCGAGGATGGTCCCCAAGTATCCGGAAGAGAGATACTCGACGAGGTTTCGGCTCATTGGCTCTCCCGATCCGCGGTTGGATACAAAACGGCAGGTGTAGAGGGAAAAAAGCAAGGCGTCGAATTGACCCGGATTGATTGGCGGCAATTGGATTGGGGGCCATTGGGCTGCTGGCAGTCAGTGCTGGGCATCGTTCTCTAAATCTCCAGACCCCCGCACTTTCTTTCCAGAGCACTGGAAAATAAACTAGTACACGTGTGCATACAGCCTTGGTGAAGAACAAACAGCCTGCGCTGTTCGCCAGCGTGTTCAGTGAGTCAATCGCTCCATCGTCGTCGTCCGCCTGGCGGGTGATGTGAGTTGTCGGCTGACACTGGACAGCATTCTGCAGAGATGCGCCGATAGCCGAAATCGTGGCTGTGCCTTTCACTACGCCTCACATTCAGCCACGTTGTCTCGGTTCAGCTGTTTTGAGACCGCCCAGCCCCCTGACTCGGAATCGAGGCCAGGTC